TCCTTTTCCCTTCCAGCTCGTCACCCGCAGTGTGGGGGTTGCACAGAGAAGGTCCCAGCAGCTCCTCCTGCTGTCTTCACACAGATGTTTTTGGCAGGAACAGTGAGGGTCCATCCACTTGTCCGTCTCCTTCTCAGCCCTTCCTTCCAACCTCTTTGGCATACATTTTCAGACAGAACTGTTTGGAGCCAGGGTCGGTGTGTTAGAAAGCAGTGGGCTGCCATCCTGTGTGGCTTCCCACAGCACCAGCCCTAAGATCAGTCCCATATGTAATGAGTCGTAGGGTTTCCTCTGAGGCTGACCTGTCACTTCTCAGTCACCCAGTGACAAGGCACTGGAAGCCTTCCGGCCTTCAGAGATCGTGTGAGCGTGGGTGCTTATTGCAAAAACCTGTCAAAGTGGGGGAATTTTTCAGGAAAACTAATTAAGTCACTGACAGTGTGATTCGGTGAAAGGGGGAGCCATGGCAGGCCCTAGCAAATCCATGGTGAGTCATTGCCTTAAGCGAGAGTATGAATATGAATGCACAATTACTGGGAGCAGCTCATCAGCCCCAGTTCTCTCCCTGCAGGTAAAAACTGAAGCTGCTCATGGAGTAGACTCACACCGAGGCCCCTCTCCAAAGCCTGTGCAGAGACCGTTGTCTTAATTTGCTTGCTGAACAATGAATAACTTCCCCACAAAGAATTTGGAGGTTTATACTATATAGATGAGTACAGCCTGAATGTGAAAGTGTTGAAGATAGGAATGAGTACTGTCTGTGAAAAGTATCACATTGGATTCTGTAAATATTCTGTCGAACAGGAAGCCTGTAATCTCCATGTAAGGAAAAGGTCTGTGCACCGAAGAATTTCGTTTAGTGAAGATGCATCTCATTTATGTATGAATCACTCATTGACAGCATTTTTGAGAATTAGGTTTTGGTAAACTAAGTTGTTTTTGAAATTCACTGAGAATGCTTGTTCTCTAATGAGACTCTGCATCATGTGGTTCTGCAGAGACACCCCATCCATCTTGTGAAATATATAAAGGCACTTCCAAATTTCTACAATTTCTATTTCATATCTTACTGTTCTTATTAAAGCTGATCCTTCAGAATCTCTGGAAGCTGTGTCGAAATGAATCAAATTAGAAAAATCCCATTTTTAGTGGTGGTGAATGTTATAACTCTTACTACCAAAGGCCAGGTCTCCCAAGTGAGAAACAAAAAAAAATAAAACGCCAACAGAAAACAAACAAAATCCATGAGGAAGAGTAAAAGACATTATTTGATTAACTGAGACAGAAACTTTGCAGATAATATATTCTGCTCCCCCCCACCCCTTCCAGCTTCATGCCAAAACAATAGGACTCTTGTTTAGGGAAGTCATGGATAGACCAAGGTAAATAGGTTGGTCATCAATTATCATCATGGAAATTAGGCACTTGTGGGGAGCTAACTTCACTTATTTAGGCAATCGGTTTATGATGGTTTAGGACTGTGATTCTCAGCCCTGGCTGCACATTAGAATCACCTGGGGACCTTTTGAAACGCACTGATCCCTGGACCTAGAATCAGAACTACAGGGGGATGGGACCAGGGCATGGGGAGCGTGGTTAAAGTTCCCCAGGTGATTCTAATGTGCAGCCAGGGCTGAGAGCCACTGAATTAGGGAAATCACCACTTGAAAATCTGGCTTAAGTAGCATAGCAACAATGCGGGGGGTGGGGGGAAGGGTTGTGGACCATCAAAACAGCTTATTAAAAATACAGATTGCTGGGAATCCCCATCCTCAACCCTTGGAATCTGCACTTTAAACATGCTTTTTTGGGTAATGCCTTATTACTAGAAACACAAGGAGCCAGTATGTTTAAGGTGTTCAATAGTGAGGTATTACTGAAAACTTAGAAGGTGCCCATAATTTAACAAGGCTTTTGCCCACCTTCAAACATGACAGTGACCAAGCTGGTTCTGTGAACTGTTGTGAGCTAAGTGACACTTGGCAGTACCTCACCCTCCAAGGTCTCCAGAGGGAGGGATTGCCCTTTCTTTCAGTAAGAATCCCTTTCTCCACCTAGTTCCTGTCCCTTCTGTTCATTGGAACGCATCCACTCAATACTCTTTTCTCCCAGAGCTCTACCACGCCCAGAGCTCCATCTGTCAAGTGATGGGTGAATGTACACTAGGAAGTGCTGCCTTGGTTTTCCCACATAATACATTTTTGTCAGCTGCCTTCAATGACTTAACTCCAAAACAGAAATGGGTACAATGGTATAGGGTCATGCAGGAGTGTGGCAGACAGCAGTATCTGACACCTTCAGGGCACACCATGTGGAAGACCACCTACCCAATTACAGATCATCACCACACTTTTGATTAATAGGTCCAAACCTCTGGGCAGTTTCTCAGTTCTTTGGTTTTATTCCCAGAAATATAAATTACCTCAAAAATACAATCCTCTGCATAAGGGTCAAATCACTGACAGATGTTGGGTGAATCAATGCCTCTGGGACAACGAAGGTATTTTGTGAAAGGCAACTTGCAGATGAAGTAACCCTCAGACAGGTTTGAGAGCAATGCAAATTCATCTCAATGGCAAAATATTCTTTTGTAAAAGGGAAATCAATTCTTTTCGTACGTTACGTACTAAATGGCTTCTGTAACCTTAGTCAGTGTCTATGTAGATTCAGCAGTTACACAGGCTAAATAAATCTAATATTTTAATTCATTTATTTCAGCATTTAGTCTAAACTTCTCAAAATATTTCCTGTAAGAACTGGGTTTTGGGCAGATAGGCTAGATTTTACCCTCCTGCTTCTTATGTTGTAACAAGGTGGGATTAGCTAGTAAGTGCAACTTTGAGATCAGTTTGTTAGGGAACCCCATTAAATACTTCCATTGGGTGGAATGAGTATGGAGGAGAAGCATGACCCAGAGCTGACAGAGTTACAAAAGAAACTCTCCTCTGAATTGTGGGTCCCTTGGTTCCTGCTTGTCCTTAGCTCCCAGTAAGAAATCCCACTAGAGCTAAGACATACGCATGAGGTTTACCATTCTTTAAAAAACTGGCATAAGACTTCAATGGATCATCTCGCCAATTATTGAACCCAATGGCACAACATAATGCCAAAGAAGCTATAATCGCTGGTTTGCTTTCAGTATCTATGCGCCATTTAGTTTCATCTAATTAGAAGCCAAAGATTTCTTGCTGATTCCACTCAGCTCTGTCACAAAGGTGTGCTTTTATTCATAAGGGAGAACAGATAATTGAGAATAGAAGAGTCTTTGATAATTTGACACTTTTTTAGTAAAGATATAGAGAAAAGAACAAAAGGGTGGCCGGCTACATAGATTCTGGTTGTTTCTGATACTATTTTGTTTCCAACTGTGGTATCAATAGGCATTTTGTTCCTTTATGATATAAACCACAATCCTTTCCCTAAACCCTTGGGGCCTGATGTGTTTTTAAATAATTTTGTTTTTTTTTTTAAGATTTTGAAAAGGTAATGAAATACATATACTGTATATTTTGTAATATCCTCAGAATGATCTGGTAATAAAACATGACATTTCTGTAGCAAAACGTATAACTATTCACATTAGATGGGATAAATAAATGCTATAAATAGTTTCAAGTTTGTTCAGATTGTATTTTGCTGCCAAATGAGTTGTGCCAAACCTAGAAAAACCTTTTAGATTTGGAAATGGAAACAAGGGATTATGGATACATAACTGTGTATTTCTCCAAACCATCCAAGAATCTCTTTATATTTTCAATTTTTACTAACTTCCTTAGGTAATTTGTCTCAGACATTATTGGCCCAAAATATACTCTTCTCACACTTAAAATGTTACCTCTAGTCACCATACTCATTGATTTGCCCAACATATTTCTGGTGACTTAGTGATTTTATTATTTCTGGTTATGGTAAGCTTTTCAGGGTTCAGTTTCCTCTTTTAGAAAATTGCGCTTGATATTGTGCCTGGCACTTAGTGCTTGCATCAGTCAGCAAGCTTCTGACTGCAAGCAAGAGAAACTGGCTCTGACTTATGCAAAAGGGAGTTTATTGGGAGTACATGGAATTAAGAGAATAGTTGAAGAACCATGCCTAGAAATAGCAGGGATAAGAAAAGCTTTTGGACTGAGGTTAGGGGTATTTTATCAGGAACTCTCACCTCTGCCTTTTTAAAATTCTGTCACTGTCCTGAAGACCAAGGCCCAGGTGAATCTGAGGGGCTGAACATGGCTCCTGTGCCCACCACTTGGTTAGGAGATAATCCTACACATTCACTGATTGACATTCCCCCCAGACCTGAGCAAGGGGGGGGGGGGAATCATACCCTCCCAACCCCCACCCCTACCAGAAATGGAGTTGCTATCACAAGAAAAATAAAAAAACACTCTGAGAGCGAAACAAAGTGAACCTAACAGAAGTCCTCTAAAGATTTCAAAATATTTTCAGAATATTTTTCTTAATTCATGGCATTTTAGGCATATGCAAAGTCCTATTTTTTTAGACTGCTCTCATACAAAACTAGCTTCACCCCCATGCACAGGTTCCTTGTTTTCCTGTAGACCTTTCTCAACACTCCATATCTTTCTTGGCACAGGGGGTGAAGGTACTTGCCACTGGGTTTTATTCTATCGCAGTACAATTAAGGAGTTATTTTCAAAGTGATTTTTTAACAAGGAATGTTTCCTGCCAAGGCAACACTGACAGAGAGAAGCTTAATGGTAGAAATCACTTCATTAATAAGGAATGCAAATACTTCACCTGAAATTTACATAGGAATAACAAGCATATATCACATGGGTCAAGAACAAAGAAAATGAAGAAGGCAAATGAATATTGTCTTTCCTCCCTCATTTACTGCTTAAAAAATTTTAAAGGATATTATTAAATTCCTTAAGCCCCATGTTTCTTTAAGTGGCTTTTCAAATTGCAAGGGATTTTTACAGGCAGGTGCTGATGGGTGCCCACAATCTCAGCGTGAATTGTTGATAATACACATTTCTCACCTGATACTCATATTCTGTGAAAGGCGATAGTTCGAAATCCGTAAAAGAGCTTGAGCTTCCATTATAGGTTAACACTGGATTTGATTTTCCAGGCCGCGTTGCTATTTGTCTTCTGTATAACTCATAATATAAAACTTTTCCATTTGGCTGAAGTGGTCCCATCCACGAAAGGGTAACTGTGGGCTGGAATCCACCTGGAGCCATCCGTACCTCTAGATGGGGTGGGGGCTGCATCAGAGGTGCAACCTCAGGGGTCTGTAGGGATGTCCAGTCACTTGACGCACATCCCAGCATGGTGCAGGCTTGAACTCGTACTTCATACCTTCAGGATACAAGGCAGAAATGACCCATAATTGGCAAAACAGATTTTCATGGAAAGAATATTTACAAGACTGTTTTCCAGATAAAAAGAGACTATTTGCTGAAAAGAAAAAGACAAATCAGTTTACATTTATTCTTATCTATAGCTAATCCTTTTAAAGAACAACAAAGTCCTCTTTTTATAAAAATTTGAGAACATGTTAAATCCTCCTGGCTTCCCAAACTAAAACAAAACTTCTCAACTGTCTGGAAAGGGTGGGAACAATTCTTCCCTAAACAGGAATATAACTTTCAAGGTTGTCTCCAACATAAAAAATTCTGGTACTCTGCAGAATTACTTAATACAACGATGAAGAATGCAGATCTTAGGGGGTATGAACCAGTTTTCCGTAGCCCTGGGCTCTTTCTACCTCTGCAGCCAGAGCTAAATGATTCCCCAGGAATGTTTCCAGGTCACGAAGGAACATCATGGAGTTAAGGTCTCAATGGTAATAAATCCCCTCACCTGATACCTGACATCTTAAAACAGGCTCTCTTACACCACACAAAGACCTTTTGGGGCCAAAGTTAACCCAGCTACATGCTAGATTATCAATCATGGAGACACCTTATCACCACCCAGTTAAACTCAACCAATCAATTATGTTTTGCCTCATAGTTGGTCTCCTGCCACCTGGAAAGGTCTATTTACATAGCTGGCACTTTCCCTTTCCAACAAGAAGGGGCTTTTGTTAGTATTAAGTGCCTAGGGCTGCACCTAAGTGCTTTTTCCCCCTCTGTTCCCATGCCCCACTGATTTTATGACATCCCTGATTTTCCCTCCAGCTGCAGCCACTTTTCTTTATATCTCTATTTCGTTTGGTTCCAGCACTTTCCTCTTCTCTTTTCTGCTTTCCCTCCTCCTATCGCTGCTTTCTGTTCTCTTCCTTGCTTTCTATTTCCCCTGTCCCCTTCCCCTTCTTGATTACAATTCTTTCTTCTTTCCTGCCATCTTTCATTCCCCTTTTCTGCTCCTCCTTCTTCTCTGCTCCTCCCTTGCTTATCTCCACTGTGATGGGACTCCTGGTTTATGGGAGGGGCGTCCATCCGTCCGGGTGTTATGGCAGGTCTGACTCCTAGCCAATTCTGCGCATTTCAATTTGCCACACACAGACTATTTGTTTTCTGGATTGTCTGTGGTAGTTTTAAAATTCTGGTTCATATACCTTTTGCTACTTAGAGTATTCCCATGCTCCTTCTTCTTCCTGACCCACTCCAGGTACCCCCAGGAGGGCACACTAATTTGCAGTATTCAGTTAGCATTAAGCTGCTAGAAAAACCCCAAACTACGTGAACCTCAGTTTCATATAGAAATGGTATGTTGTTTTAAGTCATGAATGTCACTTACATCTTCAATGAGAATGGAGAGCGAAGAGACATCTCTTGTCGCCTTAAATGTCACTGTCAGGCTTATCAGATGATCAAACTCCCCCCACCCCCAGCCTGTGAAAAGTGCTTCTTTCACACCTGGAAACCTTTTTCTTTAGAAATCTTTTTGGCTGAGAGTTTCAAAGGGGAGCAAGTTGATACGATTTTTCAAACTTGCAGGCACCAGTCAGGTAAAGAGGAAGCATAAAAGGTACAGCTCTGCAGCTAACCTGGGTCTTTTTTATGCCCCAAATCAGAGTAATATAAAAGGCAACTCAAACACTATGTGGATTAGCCATGAAAGATACCTGCGGAAGTTTTAATTACTGTTTAATATTTAATGCAACCTTAAATAATTGTCATGAGTAGATGCATAAGACCATGAATGTTTCATTTAAATAGCACTATATATCAGAGATAATTATAGGAGGGATCTAATCTACACATCAGTAGATTACAATAATAGCTGAATTTTACCAGTGGTGGTTGGAAATCAACACTCTTTCAGCCCTTAATTTTTTTAAGTGGTTCTGTTCATTTTACTAAATTTTAAGCATAAAATGTCTTTTATTACTCTTCTCGCTGGGGATGTAAGTTACTTAAAATGTGATGGGGAAAAATGCCAAGTAATTCTTCAAGCTATAGGAAAAGGGCCAGTGGTAAGATTCCTTCATATGGAGAGCAGCACACATCCATGCACGTCAGAGAGCCCCGAGGGGACCACTGAGAAACAGGAGGTTGCAAACTGGCACCATCCTGGGAAGTCATTGGATCAGAGCTGGGGAGATCCTAAGGGGTTGGGGAAATAGAGTCCAGTGAGTCTCATTATCCCTGGAAGACGTGCTGGATTCAGGAAGAAGGCTCTCCCCAAAACAAAATTTGGGTCAGTCCAACTCTGGCTAGTAAGAGCTCTCATTGGTACTTTTTTCATCTTTAAAATGATACCTAATTTTATCCACTGCCTGGATTAGATAATACCATCCGGGTTCCCCCAACTGTCCAGGGGCCTGGATGTTTTCTGGAGGGACTAGACTCGGGGAAGGGGCCCATCTCTGTGACTTGTTCCAGATATTGTGGTGAATTGCAAACGTTTCTGAAAAACTGACTCTCAAGATGTCACCTGCAGGAATTTTGCTCTCTAGAAGTTACACAAGCAAGTTTTGACCGGATGAGGGCGTGTTTAAAGGTTTTATTTATTTATTTATTTATTTGAGAGAGAGAATGAGAGATAGAGAGCACGAGAGGGAAGAGGGTCAGAGGGAGAAGCAGACTCCCTGCTGAGCAAGGAGCCCGATGTGGGACTCGATCCCGGGACTCCAGGATCATGACCTGAGCCGAAGGCAGTCGCTTAACCAACTGAGCCACCCAGGCGCCCTGGATGAGGGCGTGTTTAGCCTACTGTCAATGGTGAAGTGGTTGGGGGTTGGGGATTATCACCCATCTTGCTTTTAGAGTTTTCATTTGAACTGACGGAGGGCTCTCATGCTATAGAAAGGTCAGTGGCTTACTCTTAGCAAATCTGGAGTTGGCTACTTACCTGTGAAATGGCTTCAGCTGGTCTACTACGAATGACCGTGTGTCAAAAGAACTATGAGTTGTATCGATGTGTATGATTTTTGTTTCTTTTTCAAACAGCCCTCGGATAAAGAGGGTATAATTGACAATATCGCCATTTGTCCTCACTGGAGCATCCCAGTTCACTAAAATCTGTTGTGGACCCTTGGCCTTTAATTTTGGAGGTTCTATCCCTGAAGGTGCTGAGGGGCTGGTTCTGTCTTTGATGAGTGGACTCAAAATACCCCCTTGGCTGTTGTTGGCAGTCACTGTGTAGCCGTACTCCACACCTGGGGTGAGAGTAAAATCATGATAGCGAGTTTCCAGGCCTGTATAGACAATGGTTCCATCCCGTCTGAGTTCATAACTTCTGATCTGGCCGTTTGGTTTTCTGGGAGGTTTCCAGGTGATTTCTATAGATTCTGAGCCTGTGACTTGCAGTTTTGGAGGGTCCATGCTCTGCGGTGGGGCCTCCATGGTCCAGGCAGATTTGGATGCACTAGTTGTACAACCTCCATTTGTGCAGGCTTCCAGGGAGAAATTATACTGAGTATAAGGTTGTAGGTCAGAAACAAGCAGGGACAGGCTCTGCCCAGCAAGGTACTCCTTACCGTCCAATCTAAGCAAATATTTAGTGATCTTTCCGTTTTGAATCAATGGTGGTGCCCACGATACATTTATTTGAGTTGAGTTGATGGTCCAGAGAGCTGGAGGGCTGACTCCTGCTGGAGCAGCCTCAGGAGTGGTAAAACTGGTGGTTTTGCTGGTGGAGCAGCCTCCATCTGAGCAGGCTATGACTGCATAACTGTACGTGGAAAATGGAAGCAGGTCTTCATCAGTATAATTGAAAGTCACAGCATCAAAGCTGAAAGGATAGAGCACTCCGTTCCTTTGAAGTTTATATGACTGGATAATACCATTAGACTGTTCTGGTGGGATCCAGGAAATCAGCAGTTTTGGAGGATTCACAGATACACAGGCTACCTCAGGTGGAGAGAGACCTTCCGGAGGTGCCTGCTTTGTCCTTACTATGTTCCAAGAGCTACAGGTGTGGCCTGCTGAATTCCAAGTGTGGATTTTGTACCCACACTGCGTCCAAGGCTGCAAATCAGTGTCATTATACATAAATGTGTTCCTTTCAGTATTATATTCTGTGAAAACAATTTTCTCATCGGCCTGGATTGTCTGATTTCCCCAAGCTTTTCCCTCGAAGCACCTGCGAATCACATCATAGCGAATTATCTTTCCGTGTGGGTGGAGAGGCTCAGACCAGCTCAGCTCAATGCTGGTGGACCCTACAGCCTGGATCGCAGGAGCCAGCTGAGAGTGGGGAGGGGCTTCGTCTGTCCACAGAGGCTGGGGCTCTGAGTGTGCACAGCCCACCTTGGTGCAGGCCTCCAGGGTCAGCGTGTAGAGAGTGAAAGGGACCAGGCGTCGGAAGAGAAACTGCCGATTCAAGCCAGTGTACTCCAGGATACCCTCACTGAAGATGTTGTAGGTCTGTAGGAAGAGAAGAAGAGGGAAAACAAGGTGTAACATATGACTTCGTGATGTAGCTATTTCATTCCTTTTAACCTCTCCCTCCCATTCCTCATCTTGATGGTCCTAATCCAGATGAAGCATTCTGATATTAATTTTGGGAATGTGATATTTTCTAGTTAATGTAAAGTCCACAAAAAGAAGAACACTGGTTTCCTTTGCCTTTTTTTTTTTTCTTTTTAAGGTTGGATATCATATAAGCATGTATCTAAAAGCTAAGGACTATTGTAGCTGATTCTTTGACTTAACAAGTCAAATAGGTTTCCTCCTTTTTTATTTTTTTAAAAATAAGGAACAGTATTCAAATCCCCTGTTTTATAGATGATGAGCACTTTGGATCTCATTCTGAGTCGGGTAAGTAGGGCCTATCTACATTGTTTGTCTCTTGCAGCATTTATTGGAAAATGGAGTTATAATGCTTAACCATTTGTACCAGGGTGCCAGAGCTGAAAATGTCTGTGTATCCATGTGTGGGCACACATACATAGACATATATTCATATATGTATTATACATATATACACAAATATAGATACAAACTTTGATGATTAGAAGATGGAAAAAACCACACTGTTTTCTCTTGCAGGCCATGGGAGAATTGATTGCTCCTTTGGAGCAAAGTATTCTTCTGTTCTGGGGAAAACCATCTGAACATTTGTCATATAAATGTAGAGCAAACTTTTATCCCATATTATTCATCCTTTTTTGGGAAAGATGGGAAGTAACTCAACTTGAATGTAGATGTTTTTATACAGTGATTTCCTGCCCTTCTCCAGCCTCAATGCACCTGAGAGATATGATACCTTCCTGTGGTTGGTAGTGACTCCCCAGGATGGCATCCCTCAAGAGGGGCTGGGGTGTACATCAGAATCCCTTGGGAGGCACATCTAGTTCAAAACGTCCTACAGGCAAACTTAACTTGGACTGCACTGTTGATACACTTTTTGTTATTTAAGATTAAATAGCCTAGACTTTTGGAAATCAATTTATGTTGGATTATTGTATTTCAGTGTGATTTTTTTTTTTCTAGTTGGGTTCCTAGGGCAAGACCACACCCCCAAGGGAAGGGAAATAGTGTATTTTCTGAAGACAGCTTAGCTTCCATAATCAATTTGAAAGCTCTGAGTCCCTGAGCTCCCTCATATTCACCTAGCAAATCTCTAACTGGTATTAAATATAGCTTTCCCTCTGTACCTTAGCTTCTAACTGGGTTTGGGAAAAAACACTTGAATATGCTGACTGGTCTCACTTTAAATATCTTACTATAAATTTTAAGTGGGTGATTCCCCACTTGTAGGCCTATTCCATTCCCCCATATGTTCGCTCTTTCATTTTCCAAAGTGATTCTTTCATATCTTCCCCTTTCCCCACCAACTGCCATCACCCTCCTCTGTCCCTCATAGGTGGTTGTTGACAGACCACACACTTGACTAGGGAAATAGAAGCAGTCAAAAGGGAATATTCTCATGTTATATATTATCATCACCATGTCCATGTGAAGCTAGACTGAGACTGTGTGCCCTCCTTCCTTATGCTCTGGATGAAGTATCTCTGCCCCTGTGGAGCCCACTTGAGCTCTGGATCCCATACCCGCTCCTTCCTACAGATTTGAGGCCTGCAATCATTCTCGTTATCTCTTGCATCACCAATTTATCTCCCTCTACTTGGCTATTTCTATTAGTGGTTAAATGTATTCTAGTATCTTTCACTGATTTTTAAATAAAACTTCTTGACACTCTAGTCCCCCAGCTACTGCCCTTTTTCTCTGCTTTCATCTATACTTCTTTAAGGAGTTGGGGTCCTCATTCCTCACTTGCCATTTTCTCCTCAAGCCATCCCAACCCGGTTTCTCATTTTACCACTTGATTTTCTTGTCAAGGTCACAATGATTACCTCATTTCCAGGTCCAGGATGACTTCTCTGCCCTCATTCCACTTGATCTCTCAACAGCATCGGACATACTTTCTCCACAGTTTTGGGATGCCCCACTCACCTACCTGTCTTTCTACACCACTTGCCTCTTCTGAGTCTCCTTTGCTGGCCCCACTTCCTCCTCTTGACCTTCTGTATTCCTCAGAGCTTGATCCCAGTCTCTCATCATCTCTAGTTACATTCTCTCCATACCTGATCTCCTCTAGGCCCATGGGTTTAGATGCTACCCATATATGAATGAATTCTAAAAACAGAGTTCTAGACTTATACCTCCAACTGCCTATTTGTCCCTTCAAACCCATACACTTTCCAACCTTACCTTCTCAGTCAATGACTCAAGGCCTGAATATCCTTTTTGCTTCTTGTTTCACATCCAGTCCATTAACAGATCTTGTCAATTTTGCTTTCTGGATATATCTCCAATCCACCTACATCTTCTACCCTCACAGCTCCCACTCTAATTCAAGCCACCATAAATTCCACCCTAAATTTTTAGTATCTTCCAAACTCCACTGGTCTTCTTAGAGTCCATTTTTTGCATAGTAGCCAGAGTGATTTTGGAAAACATAAATTTGATTATGCTATTTAATTGCCTAAACCCTTCAATAATTTTTCATCGCAGTTAGAATAAGCTCCAAACTCATCACAGCCCACAAGGTTGGACACAATCTACCCCCTACCAATCTGCCATTCTCATCTTTCTCTCCCTGCACCCCTCTGATGCTTCAACCACACTGGCTTTCTTTCCTTCATTTGAATGCACCAAGTTCATTTCTGGCTTCAGGCCCTGCATTTGCTGTTCACTTTGTCTGGAACATTTTGCTCTCATATCTTCACATGACTGACTCGGTCTTGTCATTCAGGGCTCAGCTCAAATGTCAACTCAATTCAAATGATCATCCATTCTAAAATAGCCCGAGCAGGCATAATTACATTATTCTGTTTAATTTTCTTTTTTTTTAAAGATTTTATTTATTTATTTGAGAGAGAGAGAATGAGAGATAGAGAGCACGAGAGGGAAGAGGGTCAGAGGGAGAAGCAGACTCCCCGCTGAGCAGGGAGCCCGATGCGGGACTTGATCCCGGGACTCCAGGATCATGACCTGAGCCGAAGGCAGTCGCTTAACCAACTGAGCCACCCAGGCGCCCATTCTGTTTAATTTTCTTTATAGTTTTCATCCTTCCCTGAAATTCTCTTATTTGTGTACTAGCTTTTTGTTTGCCTCTCTGTACCCCTACCATTCATGTGTGTGTGTGTGTGTGTGTGTGTGTGTGTGTGTGTGTGTGTGTGCATGCACGTGTGTGTGTGTACACACACACAGGTAAGGTGTGTGACAGCAGGGATCTTGCCTGTCTTGTTCACTCCTGAATAAATGCCTGGCACTTAGTAGAAGCTCAATAAATATTTGGTGAAATGTAAATGAAGATAAAGGAGTAGATATTCCTATTGTCGATCATGCCAGGAAGAGGCAGACACTGGAATGGGAAACAAACACTCACAAGGAGGGGTGCTTTGATGGGTATGAAGAGACAGACTCTTTTCTCTGATGGGATCTTAGGGCTGTGGCTTGGATTTTGAGACCCTGGATCTCATGGCTCGAGCCTCCTGTCCTGGACTGGAGGAAGTCAAGCACTGGCACATGTAGGCAGGCTGGTAGAAGGCAGCTTGCTTCTGCTGCTTGTAGCAGGCCTGGAGCTTGGCTGAGAGGCAGCCCTTGTACTAAGCAGTGAGGTAAGTCTGCTACATGGAGGCCCACGAGGATGGGCCTGGGCCTATGAGCTCTAGTTACAGTTCTAAGTTGTTGCTGTAGGTAATTTCTGCTGTCATCTTCCTTATAGGGTTTTTAGGGAGGGTTTCTCCAAAGTTACAGCTTAGTCTTAACTGTTCTATGTGGAATTAATGGGGGACTCTTTGCCGCTTTGAGAAGGAGTGGTCAGGGAGAGGCAGTGCCTATAGGAGCAGCCGTCCCAGCCTGCAGAAGGCAGTTGATCAGGGCCTGAGTGGTGGTCCAGGGCTAGAGGCAGCCACAGACTGACAGATAAGTCACCCCAACTGTTGGGGAGGAACATCCAAAAGGGAGATGAAGACTGGCTTGCATGTGGGTGATTATTCAAAGTAACAAAACACAGTCTAATAATAGAAATGCAACCTTATTTGTGCTCACAGCCTGGTAAAACCTGAGAGACACCTAGGACATTAGTTAAGACTGCTCTTCATGGTTATGCGTGGAGGCGGGGGCATTAACAGACATGGGGAGCTTCCTGTCTTCTGCTCAGTGAGCTCTGCTCAAAGCACAAATTAGGCAAGACTTAAGCAAATAACTGGGCAGGATATTCAGGAGGCAGCAGGAACAGTCATTTAGAGTTCAGTTTTGGCATGACTTCCTGACTTCAAATTGCAATTTGATCATCTGCAATGTGGGCTTGGACAATTATTTAGCCTTTATATGCCTCATGAAATTTAGTGGCACCTACCTGATAGGGTTGATGTGCAAATTAAATGAGATAATCCACGGAGAGCACTTAGCCCAATGTTGGGTTCATAGGAAGCATAATACATGGGAGCTAGTTTTCTCCGATCTATGATTAAGTGCCTGGAGGATCTATCAAGGAGGATTAAAAAGACGGTGAAGGGTGTTTTCCCACAGTGACCTGATGGCATGTCAGGGCTCATTTATTTATCTGGAGAACACCAAACATGATTTCATATTCAGAGTAGACATTACCTTAATCACACCATTGGTTCTCACAGGCTCTGACCACTGTAGTAACAACGCCCGGCCGTTCTCTTGTTGTTGTACGGTAAAGTTGCTCAGTCCACTTGGGGAAGATTCTAGGGTTTGAACCACAGTCCAGGGGCTTGAAACTTCTCCTGCCTGGTTTGTGGCCACAATTCCAACGTGATATGTTGTGAATGGTTCTAACCCAAACAGGTGGGCTTGAAGGCTCATTCCCTGCACGAAAATTAACAGGTTAGTTTTCTTTTAGGAGCTACTAACAATTGCTAGAAGATCATTCTCTGACCAAGTTATAGGAGCAATGGCAGCAAAAATATCACAACAGAGTTTTTGAATTATTAAGAAAACAATGTGTTTTTTTATTGTTCTTCACACCTGAATAAATTATCTAATGTTGTGTAATTTCAGACATACACAAAATATGGATCAGATAGGATCCTTCCCTTTCCAGAGTTTGCAACCCAGAAGATGTGATATATAACATTAAAAAAAAAAATCTTTGATGCTTCAGGTCAGTGCTACATCCAGCTCACAGTGGAAATCAGTGGCACCAAGTTTCATGACAAAGAATGGGATAATCTTAAGGGTTTGGAGATCTAACTGGAACAGTTAATCTCCAGCACCATTTGTTTACACATATGACTCTCCCTCGTCTCCCTCTCTCATTCTCTTGGTATTTATAACTTACAAATGCAGTAAAACAGACACAAGAAAACAAAACAACAAGCAAACTGAACTATGAATGCACAAACACTCTTAGAGAAGTCTACCAGTGATATACATGTGAAAATATTCTCATTTGTTAAAAACACCATAACTAGAACCATCAAACTTATCAAAAGTAATTGTTAGCTAGGCTTTGAGAATTTGGTTTTTGTTGATTTAAAAGAAAAAAAAAGGATAGTAGAATTAAGATTTTTTTTTTTCTTCCTGCTTGGAGAGAACATTTAACATATTTTACATAACTAAAAGCTGGAACTAAAAGTCTTCATGTTTTGAAAGAGCCCAAGGTGCTCTTTCTACATCTGGGCTGGATGGGTATGTCTGTTTACAAATAGCAATTATGTCTGCAAGTGGACCATTAATATGTGTATAGGTAAACGCACAACACACACACACCCCCCCAAAGACACATACAGACACAGAGACACCCAGAGACACACAGACACACAGACACATATACACTTTCTTTTGTGTACTATACGTGAATAATCATGAGGAAGTTTTGACTGGCTTAATGGGATATTTATGCTTAATAAGGTGTGTAAGATCAGGTTTGGTTTATTAGATGTTTAAATATGACAGTTTTCAATTGTCTTCCCCTTGGTGGATACAAAAGGACAAAAGTGGGGGAGAGAAGAGGAAGTTATTTCTGAGAGTAGATACCTGAAAGCATCAGACAAAATTATGTGAATGGAAATTCTCCTTAATGTAGAGGCATCCAAATATTATTTTGAATAAAATCTAAAACAAGGTGGCGAAATTGAACTGAACCATTTTCCAAAAAACTGGTTAGACAAAACCAAAACACATTGCAGAAATAATTTTTGACACTGTTTCCTCACATTCTTGGTTATAAATTTCAACTGTTTAATGTCTCTTATTATGTGTTAAACACAAGCAGAGAAAATATAATTTCCTTTATTTATCAAAAACTTGTAAGTCAATTTTCCTCTTTCAATAAGTCCCATTATGATATTACATGCTAACCTCTTGAAATCTTTTAATATTTAAACATTTGCTAAGCGACCAGACTCTGAAACAAATTTTATAGAAATACTAATTCCTCTTTTTTAAAATATTAAAAGTTAGATCATAAATATTTAAAACTTATTTCTCCACAACATTGGATTGGTCTTTTAGATAAATACAGCACAGAACTAGAATGACCATAATGAATATTAAATCTGAAGATGCTACAAGTCCCGATTACAAACACTCTTTTCTGATAAATGATTCCTTTTCTGTAGAAATAGGGCAAACATGGGCAAGATTAATAATGCAAAAAAGAAAAACTCTTTGTTCAGAATATTCAGTAATAAATGCCAAAAAAGCATAAGCTCCAAAGCAAATAGTAATCACCTCTAACAGATTATATATAAAAAAGGTAGGCTGTTGGGGGACATTTAGAGATAGATTTTGTCATAAGAAACATGAAAAGCATGTGGGCTATAAAGCAAAAACATATGTATATTGTCAATAGCAGCACCTGCTCAATTACAGTTTATTTCAGAGCTGAGAATTCCATTCAGCCCCTAGATGGCAATACTACCAAACACTTTTGGTAACGTGAGTACTTAATGATTAACAACCGGCATTCATTCATCCAACACACTTCAGGCAACCATTAAAAAAATAACAAAACTGATTTCATTATAGATCCTTTTAATAAACATTTATAGCTCAGATCCTCGGAAAGCAGAAGTATTCAGAATGCCCTGGCCTCAAAACATCTGCCATCTAATGTAGAAATATGACCTGCAGATCTCAAGTTGAAGTTCGTGCATGACTGACACAGAGATCTTTAGAGGTTTATTCCTACAAAAGGTGATTACAGTAGTTGTTTTGCTTACTTTGGTCTGTATCTTAAAAAAAAGAAAGAATCTCATATTGTAAATGTAAAGGAAATGTAGAGGAGAATTTTTATACATAAATTTATGCTGAGGACAAGTTCTCACATTGTATTGTTATTTCTGAAGAACTACAACACACACACACACGCACACACGCACACACACACACACACACACACACACACACACACCCCTTACATAAGCCTCATTAATGACCATGCTTTTTGTCAATATTTAGTAAAGGTCACATATAAAAAATGCAGACAATTTAAAAATGGCAAGACGATCCTTACCAATATATTCTTTGACATTTAAAGAAATCATTTATATTATTCTCTCTTGAGTGGATTTCCAACACCAAAGTTCACTATTTTAGAACCCTGCTGTAAAATTTGGGCAGAGTTCATTCTGCAGATTGGGTTGTATCTTTTTTGTTTATTCAGTTACTTGGTTTTTTTCCTCTTAAATTCAGATTTGCTTGAGCACTGTCTACCTTAAGTGTTTTGGATGAAATTCCTTCCTTTGGGGATGTAGTGTTCTCCCCTATTGACTAGTAAAAGTCATCATTAAAAACCCTTTTCTTCCCTTTCACTCCTCTGCTCCCCCTACTTCCATCCCCTATGGAGATGATCTCGATTCAATACTCTTACTTCTTCCTCCTCGTTGTCCTTATTTTGTTCCTTCTTTCCCTCTCTTCCATCTTACTGGTTCTTAGGAGGTAGGTTTCTTGTTGTCCCCCATCTCTGGGCTACAAGCTGTACTCACTTCCCATCTGTCATTGTCCTTCCCATGTTCACATCCACCTAATGTTCATATTTTTATTCTACAAGTATTTAACTACTTTTGCTATGCAGCAGGTGGAAAGAATCATTCAACAGAGGAGAAGAGGCATAATCCAGTCTCTACAATCTAATATTTCCAATGAGACTTAGCTTTTTTTTTTTTTTTTTAAACTTCTATGCATAAGGGTCAGAGTCTGGATCCAAATCCGTATATCCTTTTATGAGACATAAAGACAAGACTCTCTGGAACACTTTGCCAGTTGAGGTTCTGCTGGCAATTTGAACTACATTTTAACCTCTCAACTCTGCTCCTAGGGGCACATGAAACTACTTGGAGTCTTCAGCAGTCTGACAATTTTACACCATCTCCTCTGATTATTTTTGATGACTTGAAGTGCTCCAAAGGTGGCCATGGGGTCAATAGGTTTATGTAGGTTGAAAATGATCAAAAATTACCATTGATCTGTAGCTGTCAATAAAAGGCTGCGTGGGGAGACTCCCTGCACAAATGTTTAAACTGCATAAAGCAACCTAACTTAGTCATCTTTGAGTCTATTGATCTGATGATCCAGCAGTTTCCAAAGCTTTCCCTCTGGTCTTTGTGGTGCGTTTTCACTGAACCCACTAACCTTGGCCCTTAGGAATCTTTTTACCCTGCTCCTGGTTATGAACTAAAATAGTGGTGTGCAGGTACCGCTGTGCTCATTAACAGAGTACTGTGTGTGTGCTTATTACATTTTGGAAAGGATTAATCTTCCTGGTCACCATCAACTTCATTCCCAGCTGATGGGGTTTCTTCTGTCTATACTCCTTATCATGACCTTATCATACACTCCTCATTTTAAAATGTGTGACTTTTGGCCTGTAAATCCTAACCCGGTTACAGGATTCTTTTCCTTGTTAGTTATCATGAATGCCAAGATCCAGAGAATATGTCACATCAAAATTTTGCTCTCTTTTGTATAAAGAGAGCTTCAGAGGAATCTAAATTTAATTATATTAACCTCTGTTTTCCTTAGTTGAACCATTTGGGTGCTTCTTTTTAAAGTTTTATCATAAGTTATAATTTTACTATAAATATAACAATAAACAAATGGTCATAGACAAGTTTCTGGTTTAGACTACAAATAAAACACGAGAAGTAGGAAAAGCTCTTGTTTATTATTATTTACTATTACTCTTATTTATTATTGCCTAAAAGCCATGGCTTTGGACAGAGTACAGCCAATCAATAGGATGATTTACATAGTTTAATGCTGACAAATCAACACAAAATATTTTTGTAGATTTCTGAAAGCCAGATCATTTGAGGCATGGGTTCTGGAGGTCTATCTTCCTTTCCATTTATAAAGTTAATGTTTAACTTCTCCAAAGTTGATCAACATGTTTATATCTAGTACTCATTTTGGAAAAGTCCCATCAGTCTCAATACAGAAGTGATCTTTTATTACCCATAGCCAAATTACAGCCTTGACTACTTATCCATAGTTATCTAAGCATGAGACTTCCAAGCCTGAAAAATGATAATACAGAAAATTTCCACTGATTTCAAATGTGATTTACTTTACCACTGCTATCTCTGCCTACATACCTCCTGGCTGATAGGACAAAGACATTTTTTGATGGCACGCACATGCATGCGGTGTTGCTCCAGAATCAAAGATTGATTCATAATACAAGAAAGGTAGCAGAAAAACCCTTTAAGTTCATGGTCTGTTGTTTTACCTGCATGAAGTGTGTGCATGTACTAGGGGGCATTGCTAAGTGGTATGACAGAGCTGCTAAAATGGTTAGTAGAAACATCCAGTATTGTTGGTCTGTAGCTACATTCAATTCTTTTTAGATTATTTATTTATTTATT